TGGGGGGTGGCGGCAGCTGGGTGGTGTGTCTACTAGCTATAATTATCATTATCATTATTTTGTTTGATTGCTGTTGTTTTTTTTTTTACATAAACGTGGAACGCCGAATCTGTGCGTGCTGTTGCATCGGGATCAAAATTGACGTTGCAATGGATTGTTTACACCGGAAGTGGTAGTAAAATCCGCCGGAAATTGAGCTTCCTAACCGAGCCGTCGCTTAATACGGACCCTGAATAGATAATTGAGTCCTCCCAGGGCTTTACCGGGGCCAGTGAACACCTGTTATCGATGCTCTGGTAGCTTAGGATGCTGGTTGGCTACAGCAGCAGCTCGGAAGAGGAGGAGGGCGAAACGGAGACAACTCAAAGCGAAGGATTTGACCAAAAGTGGCAGAAGGAAGACGATGGTAGCGATGACCTCCCGCCTAAGAAGAAAATAAAGACAGATGAGCCGGCTTCTAAAAAAAGGTGTGTACGGGTTGTCGTATCCCCTTTTTAGAGTAACTTATGTAACTATGCAAATGTTCAGTTTAAATTCACTTTGTTTCTATTTTGGTGTTGGGAGGGCTTCAGAAGTATTTCAGAACAACGTGCGTTTTAAAGTTCTTGTGAGGTTGTGTTAATCGTTTGTCTATTCCTAAAAGAGACGTTGTTTTTTATCCATTCGTTGTTTTAAGTGCTAATTTGGGAGCTCAATTCACCCTAAATTCTGCCCGTTTAGCTGAAAACTAACTGAATGGCTGGGTCTCCTGCAGACTGCCGCTCCCAGGCTGCCTGTTAACCATGTTTCCAGACGAAATGGATCCACAGACTGAGGACAGCTCCCTCCACGGTGGACGTGTCCGCTCCTTCAAACACGAGAGAGGAAACTGGGCCACTTATGTTTATTTCCCATGTAAAAACAACCCAACAAAAGACAAAAAAATTGTCATCCCACTGTCTGATTTTCTACCTTGTGTTTGATTTCCCATCTTCTCTTTGCGTCAGACCATCCGGAGGATGAGTTTGAGGAGTTTTTGGAGGAGCTGCTCTCGACAGCCAGGGCTCGAGGAGTGGGTCTGACCCCACAGGAGGAGTTCCACCTCAGCCTTTCTCAGACGGTGGTGCTCAGACACCACTGGATCCAGCCCTTCATCCAAAGCTTAAAGGAAAGCCTGACCCACTGTAGAAGGTTGGTTTGCCTCACGTTTAACTACAGATATGCTTATTTGGGCCCGTTTCTTTATTTAGTTTATCTATATATACTAGTTTTATATAGTGATGTGGTGATTAGAGGCTCTAAACAAGCTTAAATAATGACAATAATGTTTTCTATGTGGTATCATTGGCTCTCTTTGTTGTAAAGATGACTGTACTTGCAGTGTAATTTAACAAAAAATATTTGTTAGAATAATACTTGAGGCTGGCTGTTCTTGGATTGTCATTACAGCTGTTTTTTTCCCCCAGATTTGTTTGCACAGCGGGGAGACTGAAGGTCTACAGTAATGCTGAGAGGACAAGGTAGCTCCTTTAAGGTCTTTATTATCTCCTTTCTTTAAGTCCACCTGGTCATTTGCACATTTTATACATTTTCCTTTTTCATCGTTGTATTTCGGAAATAGATAATGGACGTCTATAGGACATGCTTGAAGTTTAACTGAGTCATTGGTTTGTCTTTGTTTCATAGATTGAATTCTTGGCTTTTTAAACACAAGTTTTTCTGATTGGTTTCCCTCTGTAGGACGTTTCTGGGGATGGAAGTGTCCTCTGGAAATACTCAGTTGTTGGACCTGGTCCACATTGTTGACAAAACAATGACAGAGTTTCGACTGGAAACTTTTAATGAGGTCAGTAAACATTTAACATGAGCACACATTAAAAAAGAGGCTTTGAGTTTAAAATGTTATTTTTTTTTTTATCTTAAGAAGGATAGTATGTGCTGTTTTTGTACACTCCACCAGGGACTGATTTAAAATCCTTATTTTGCTTTAAATGTATTCAGAAGATCAATAAAACGGCCTTAATGGTGGTTTGTTTTCTAGGATCCATCGTTCCATGTGAGTTTGGCATGGTGTGTTGGAGACCAGATGGAGAAGCTGAAGCGGTGCATTCAGGAGCTCCAGGTACTCGAACATCTCAGCAAAGGCTCATGGGGCTCCTTTTTAACAAGTTTTTTTATTTATAATCAAACTTCATTCAAAAGATCTAAAAAGCAGGAAAACATCATGTCGGACAAAATGACGTCAGTCCAGTCACTTTTTAAGCTATTTGACACAGAAAATGAGTCATAATAAATGTTTTGGATATGATTTGACACCAATTTCATTTCTTAGTTGTAATGCTCAAAACCCCAAATGAGTCGTTTGTGTTATTTTCTGCAAATGTTGAACCAGTTTTGGTCCCGGTTAAATAAAACCGTGCCTGAGATGTGGGAACTGTTGGAAGTGCTGGAAAAGCTAAAGAATCATCTCACTGAAAACTTTCTAAGAGCCTGAATAAGTTGTTCTTTTCATTGAAATAAACATGAAATGCAAAGACTGCCGTTTCCTCATAAAGGGGCTGTTTGTCTTTAAATGACCTTTGACCCAGAATCCGGCTCACAAACACGATGTTCTCACATCAGATCCAAATCTCTGTTATGAAGCTGTTGACAGGAATCAACGATTCTTTATTTTTACGGTCTGAAATTTGAGTCTTCAAAGAACTAAAATGTCGTCATGAATCCCTTCATTTAATCACAGAGCTCCTTTCCCACAGACCAGATTTGATAGAATATAAAAACTGCCAAAGAGAATTAAAAGCATCAAACAACCCCGTCCCATCCCAGGACCAACATTAGTCAAACATATGTTAAATTCTTATTATGCAGATGTTTAGACGGATAATACAGATGTTGTGCTAATGTGGGTTTGTGCTCTGACCGGCTGCAGACGCTGGTGGAGCGGCGTGAGGACGGGCCGCTCCTGCTGAGGCTGGACTGTTCAGAGCTGCGCTGCCGGACGGGAAACAAAACATTCCGCTTCCCTCTGGAGACGTGACGCGCTGCACATCTGGAACTGTTTTACCACATCTGCCCGCCAGATGCACCAAGTGGCAGCAGCACACACCGTTTCCCCCAGAACTAAAGTTTTTATGATGCCCAAAGCTGTAAAAATAAAAGGAGATTCTTGTTTTTTATAATGATTTCTGGTGGCATCTGAATGGGTGATGTTAATGAGGCAGATGTGGGCAGATGTGGGGGGATTCCCCCCGTTGGCTCTGATTCTGCCTGGGAAACGAAGGCCGGGCGGGGGCAGGAAGGAAAGAGCCTGAAAGAGAAAAGGCCCAGAAGGACTCGCCAAACAAAGGAAACGCAGGCCGGTGGTTGTATTTGAAACATTTTACTCCACAGAAAGCAGCACATTTCACTGACACACTTCTGATGCTTCAAGCAGCTCTCAGAGCACATCGATCTGGTCCCGGCAGCCGGGGCTGCGTGGCAGTCGCCCGGATCCCACATGATCCGAACAGAAAATACGAAAAATGTCCAGGAGATCAGATCCTAAGAGGTCCAGTTTGAGCTGGTGTGGATTCGGCCTGATTCAAACCCAAAGCGGGAGGAGACACCAGAGACGGGAGCACATGCAGAGCCGGGCGTCCTGCGGCCTCGGAGCACTGATAAAAGCAACAGGGGCCTTTTTCTGAGACAGTGTTTCTTTGGTCGCCTAAAATCAAAGCTCTGCTGTGGCAGCCGTCTCCTGTCACACCACAAAGACGCCGGCAGGGACTCACAGCGTCGCCGCCACACAGAAAAAAACACGATAACCGAGAAAAGCCGCCTTCGTAAAAACTCGATCTCTTTAAAAAAAATCATTTATGGAGATAATTCCAGCGTGTTTAACAACTTCTGTACTGTCACAAACCTGCTGTTTGCCTTTAAAATATCCTAATTATCTGGAGGTGTCTGAGCTGTAAAACCTGGCTGGAGGACGTCCGCCGGCAGACCGGCGCCGCCTGGACGCCGGGCGGTGGCGCCCACCCGGCCGGCCGGCTCAGGGGGAGAACAGCACGGTCTTGATGTAGGCCACGGTGGTGAAGTTGGTCAGCATGTTGACGTGCTCGTTGCCCGGCAGCTCCTTCAGGGTGACCGGCGGCCGCTGGCGGCCCGCCCAGCGCTTGCACTGCACGGCGCTCTGCAGGTTGACCGTCCCGTCGCCGTTGCCGTACAGCACCGCCGGCTCCACGTCCGGGAACTTGTCGGAGTAGGAGTAGGCGGCGGCCGTGGGCACGCCGCTGCCGTACAGGCAGTGCACCTCCACGCCGGGCGGCCTGAGCTCCGACACCAGCGGCTCCGTGTCCTGCCGCATCAGCCAGCCGTCCTGGAAGCCGATGTCGGAGTAGAGCCGCTCGTAGTCCTGAACCGTGTAGTTGGCCTTTGGCGTTTGGATCAAAACCTGCAGGAGGGCAAAAGAAAAGAGGAAAGTTTGTCATCGTTTGTAAAGTCTTTTTTCATCACAATCGCAGACGATTGTACGGCGCAGCCTTTTATTTATTTATTATTTATTCATTACTATTTATTATTATTATTGTTTATTGTTAATTATTATGATTTATCATATATTTATTTTGTTTGTTTGGTGTTGTTTTTCAATCCTGCTCTGAGGGAGTGGGTGGGAAGACGGGGGGGATTTTTTGTGTCGTTATATATCTTGATGTACTGAAAATGAAAAAATACAGTATTAAGTTTGTCACATATGTCGGAACAGAAGCGCGTTGCATTCACTGACAAAAAATAAATAAATAAGACGCCTTAACTTGTAATCAGGAGATCTTTTCTACAAAACATAAAGACACTGTCCTCAGTAAATGTCATAAATAAAGTCTTTAGTTTACTCAGACATGAATTTACCTCTTGCTGGATGTGCACTTTAGTGGTTCTGAATTTCCTGTTCTCATAATTACCAGATAATCTAATCAGACTAGAAAAAAATACATTTTTTGTGAGATTGTAGTGGTGAGTGTTCTCTCCTGTTTTAGAGGAGAGTTGATCAATGGGGGCCGTGGAGCATTTGGTGGAAATGAAGTTTCACAAACAAGGAGGTGCTGAATCTTTTGGCACATCAGCATCAGACTGTCAGAAGTGTCAGGACGTTAAAAACAACATGCAACAAAATGCATCTTTTTCCACAAATAGAACCGGGCGGGGTTGGAATAAATTGCTTTAGGAGGAGAAATGTCTGGAAGTGGTCGACTGCAGGTTGTGGGTGGAAGCATCAGCTCAGGGGGTTTATTCTGACCATATTTAATGGCTTTAGTCTGGTATTTGTTTTTAAATGTGGCCCTAAAACTCTGCGGTGGTGACGTGTTTGGAGCAGAAGGGGCCTGAAGGCCGTCGGTGAGGAGGAGCAGGCAGACAGACCTGGTCTTTGGGCCAGGAGTGGGCGTAGGGCAGCAGCCAGTTGGTGGAGATGGCGGTGCGCTGCTGGGAGCGGATCTTCAGCGAGCTGATCACCGGGATGCGGTTATTGTCGCCTGGAGGCAGAGGACCAAAACAGAGAGGCTCAGAGTCATTAACAGATGCTGTTAGCTAATCACTTCCTGTTTTTGTGGATGTGTACAACTAAACAGGTCTGGGTCACGTTCTGCTTCGTCCAAACAAACCGTAGAAGAATTTGCTTTTAAAAACTAAACACAAACCTCAACTTCTGAATGTCATTCAGTAGTTCTGTTATAGTCTTCAGAGGCTTTTTAAAGCTATGTGAGCCACAATCAGGGGCTAAAAAGCACATTTATTTCCACCGATTCAGCGTATCTACTGGGAGAAAGGACCTGATTAACCTCCAGATGTCCCAGCTTTCTAACAGCACTTGAATGCACCGTGCAGTGTGAAACTCTGCAGACCAGAGATCTCCAGCTCTGGTCCCGCAGGGATTTAGATGTTCTGATTCACACCTGATTCAGATTGAGGGCTAACTTCGTCAAAGATTTGAATCGAGTGAGCAGAAGCTGGTAGAAAAACCCAGCAGGCCTTCAAGTGTTCACATCTGAGAGGTTAAAGGTCAAAATCTGGAAAAGCTCCCTGTCTGTACAGTTTGAACTATGTGTTGATTCGATGTGCTCAGTGTTTCTGCCCCCCCTGATCTGGGGCCTGAGGGGGATCAGCCAGCTCATGTCAGCCCTGCCTCGTCCCACTTTGAGCATAAATAACCCAAGTAAAGGCACTTTTTCAGCAGCATAAAGGGCCAAAGTCCCTCTGGGGTATAGACGGCATTGCGGTTGCTCCTTCTCACCAGATGTGACCACGCGCAGCGTTTTGGCCACCCCGGCCCAGGGAGCCCCCAGGCACACGAAAGCCTTGATGTATTTGTCTTTCCAGGCCTGTGGCTGCTGGTTGAGGAAGTACAGGGTGTACATGTTCCCCATGCTGTGAGCGATGAGCACCACCGGCCCGCCGGCCTTCTCCGCCATCTCCTCGATCATCTGCTGCAGCGCCAGGAAATACTCTTTGTTCTCGTCTGCGGGGGACACAGAGGGCAGAGGGGGTGAGCTGGGGCCGGCTGGGGGGGCAGCGGGTCTGGGCGTGTGGGGACTCACTGGGGGCTTTCCTCCAGTCGTAGGGGGCTCCTCTGACGTCGTCATCTCGGGTGTAGCCCCACTCCACCATCGCCTGCACGATGCTGAAGAAATACATGCCTGCAGGGGGCAGAGCGTCCGGTCAGCCGGTCGGGCGGTCTCACCCGGCTGGCCTCCCCCTGACTGGCCTCCCCCCCGGCTGGTCCACTCACCCACGCTCCGCTTGCTGGGGTCCAGGTACTCCAGCGAGTAGGTCTTTCCAAAGCCGGGGACGCGCACGAACACGCCGGGCGGCGAGGAGGAAGTGTGTGTGGTGGTGTTGTAGATCAGCCTGCACACACAAGTGGCCGTCAGCTCTGCTCCCCACTTCCCAGTTATTTCGGCTGCCCCAAACCACAAGATGTGGAACCAATCAGAGTTCAGTTCTTCATCAAATACTAAGGTTGGACGTGTTTGTTTAGAGGAGGCGACAGAAGGAATGTGAATGTGAGAAATAAGGGGTAATTCCTCTGTGTTTCCTCTCAAAGTGAAGCCAAACCACAGAGCACCCGGGTCCTTTAGAGCCTATGGGCGTTTGAGCATCACCCCATTGGGTAAAAATCCAGATTTTAGGGGTCCAATTTCAATCAGACCGAAGTGGAAATGTGAATTTGAAAGCATGTATATGTGGTTACTCTGACTCTTTATTACTTTCAAAATCAGTTGCTATCCAAAGGATTTCTCGTCCTTGCCCCCTGCCCCCCCTTTCCTTTGGGCAGAACCCACCTGATGTTGTCTATCCAGCAGTCGATGGCGACGGGGATCAGCAGCTCCAGATTGAGCCACAGGGTGAAGAAGGTGTCCGTCTTCCTGTAGCAGATGTAATGGACCACGCTGGGTTTATCCAGCTTGGCCTCCAGCTGGTTTCCCAGATCCCCGGGGACTGCAGAAGCAGAGAAGAAGATGCTGACTCACATGGAAGCACACAGAAAGACCCTGCTGCCAAACCGCTTATTATCAGGAATATTTCAACAAAAAAAGGGGATTCAAAGCTCCTTTAATTTAAGAACAAACTGTCCAGCTGTCTGTTGGCTTAATCCTCAGAAAAACCCTGTTTTCTTTTTTCTTTGGTTGTTTTAAGCACCTAAACGAGAGCAGAACATGATGACAAAAGCTTTGGACATCAGCCTGACAGACCAAAACAGAACAACATGAAACTAATATTTCCTTCTTTACATCATCCGCATGAAAACTACTTCTGAGACAAATCATGTGAAATAAACTGAAGGAAATTATTTAAGCCCAAAATTCGACTCAAATGCAACACGATAATGACATTTAAAGGGTTTGTTTAGAATTTGATGCATGAAAATAGGTTTAAAAACAAAGAGGATGTTTTTAAAAAAAGAGGTTCAATCAGAACCGAGCAATAAAGAAATGTGTGTTTTTAAGTCACCGTAAAGAAACAAAGAACTGAAAACTTTCAGGTAACGTTTGTCGGGGTGACAGTTTAGGAAATGGCCAAGAGATGCAATAAGTGTTTCCATTTAAAAGTGAAGTGATCGGAAGCCACAAAACAGAAATGTGAACATAAATGAGGTTGGCTCATGGTAGCAGTTTCATAAAAGCAGCTCCGGTGCTAAACCACAGCACATCATACTGGGGGGGGGGGGGGGGGGGACAGAAACAGCAGCTGAGTCACTCACATTCACCACTAAATCCACTCAAGTTTCAAAAACAAGAAAATCCAATCAATAAGACCAATTGAAAAGAGTCAAAACGGTTAGAATTCTTTGAATGAAACCACTTCAAGGCCTTTAAACCACTGTCAGTAGCTTAAAGCGCCATCATGCAAAGATGAAGGTTGCTGGTCATGGACGGGACGCCGTCCTGGTCGGACAGGCCAAAGCTGGGCGACCTCCTGGGAGATCATCCTGCTGGATGACTTTGGTTTGAGACACAGGGAGCGGCAAACCGTCAGCCTGAATGTGCCAAAAGCTTTCAGAGCACCAGGGCTGCCGGCCAGATACCAGCCTTTTCCAGGGAAGGTCGTGCTTATTGCAGCAAGACGAACCACATTCTGCGCGCATGACAGCAGCGCGGCCTTAGGCGGCGAGTCTCAACCGGCCCGCTTTAAAACAGGCAAGTGAAACCGTTCCCTTTACAAGCCGCTAGTCCATTCAAAGCAGTTACCAAACCCCCCATCAAAGCGCTTTTATCATCTAACAAATACTATTCAAATGGACCAAAATGCTAAAGGTTACAGTCTTAACCTCTGACACGCCGATCAGGCCTTTAACTGATGGGATCAAAGAGGAACAGGCCCCTCTTCATCTGTGTGACAAAGTCAAACATCATCTTAAACGTTCGACTGTTTGCGGCTGATATTTGAATTGATCTGAGTGTCAAAGGTCGCAGCTGGGACCCTCCACAGGCGGCTTTATCAGAAAGGGTCACAGGACAGTGGGCGTTATCAGACAGGTGGCCAGATAAGTGAGCCATTTCTTGTCTTTTTGCTAATTCCATCAACTGAGCGTCAGAAACCACATCTGATCTAACGGCGTCATTCACTCTGAGGAGTTCGAAGGAAGAGCCAGTTGCTCAATGATTAAATACATGAAAGCAGTGGAGGCCATCATGTGAGGGACTTTTTGCACCCAGACCGATGTGGTTTGAACAAACACAGATAACCTCCTTTAAACTCAAACCAGGTATTTGCGCTGTGGATATAGATGTCCTGGCTTATTTAACTGTGAACACAGGCATTCAGTTACACTGAAAAACGCTTTCTTGGTATTCTGAGAATTTAATTCTCCGTTGTGCTGAGGTCGCATTCAGTTTGAGCCGAGTCATGTGAGGAGACGGCTGGACTCTTCGTGTTCACACAAAACAGACAGGCCTGCAAAAGGCCTCAGAAACATCCTTTCTCTAAATGTATCCACATGAACACTTTAAGTACATTTTTTAAAAGTAGAGCTTCACAATTCTAAGTAATCAAATTTAGCTCTGAGCTTCTCCCTCCTCCATCTCTGAGGCCTCTCCAGCAGCTCCTTTCTTTAAGGAGTCTTTAGAAGAAGCTCTCCAGGCTTCTGGCAGGACACCCCAAAGCTCTTCTTTGGATGTGGGTTTCCCCCCCCGTTTCCTTCCTTCAGAGTGGCTACTTGACAGCCCCCCTTCAAGGAGAGCATTTCTGATGAGGCCAACAGAAGATGATCAGCTGGAGGTCCAGATGCAGCTCTCAGCTCCTGTTCAGCTGAGAACTGAAAGAGGATCTGTTCCTCTTTCTTAACCTGCTAAAGGTAGTTTTTTTAGGCCTAGCACTTCTTCTTTTGTCCCTTTGACCACAAACTTTAGTAAAACCCTATTCCAGCCTTGGTTTTAAGTGGTTTTCAAACTATTTTTGGAGAATTTTTACAATCCTACTCTAAAAGTTTCACCTCAATCGGTGCTCCTTCACAGGGAGTTTCTCTGGTGAAGAATCTGGACCAACATCTCTGCTGATGCCCTCACGAACACGTCACACTTGTTGGTAAAAGCATTAGAAATCTGGAGGCTTTCCTGTTGCATCATCTACAGTTTTAATAAATACCTCCTTTTTATTTGTTTAGTGAGATTATGGAGCATGTTTAACTTGTTGCTAGCCTAATCTATAAAATCCATAAGTGTCCTCTGATGTTTTGAGGCTTCACTGCTCACCAGGCTGAGATCTGCCCAGTTTTCAGCCAGCAGCTCTTTGGGATTCCTCACAAATCCTGTTTCCTGTCTGTCAGACTGGGTTTTCTTTGGCCTTTTTCACACATCAGCTAAAGAAATGGGAACAAATTATGCATCTTTGTGACAGGCTGTAGCTAACAAAGATCCTAAAAATCCCACTCAAAAATGATTCTTTGCTAAAAACTTGTGAATGATTCAAAGGTCAGAGCTAAAGTTGCTTGAAAAACTAAAACACGATGAAAATGGTCATGAACAAGAGCTGGACAGAAAGGCAGAAGAAATAGTAAACAGTATAATTATAACACAGCACAGCATATACATGAAGGGACATGAATGATTTATGGTGTCATGCTAGTTAAATCCCCCATTATCACCATCCAACCGACGTCTATGAATTCGTGTTTTGTTTTGTTTTTAATACTTGAAACTTGGTGAGAATCAACACAAATAAACGACTCCCTTTACAAGACACATTTCGGTTTGAAAAGAGGCTCTAAGCAGTCTAAATAAAGCGAATAGGAGGCGCGTTGGCTCTTGTTGTCAGTTTGTTGTGAAACTGCTCCTAATAGCTGTGGCGGTTAGTGACGCCGTCCACGTAAACAAGGCGACCAACGCCGGAAAAAACACTTACTGAGGACGACGGGGGGTCTCGGGGAGCGACAGGTCTCGCCGCCCAGACATTTCTCCGCGGGTCTACCGCTGCACCAGGCGCAAAACAGCAACAACAAGCCGAGGGAGAGGGCGGTTACCCGGTGCCAACCCGCCATGGCTCCCGCTGTCTCATAGCCGACGGGTCGCTGCCAGCACCTCGGCGTGTGTCCGCGGATCTGCCGCCGACTGCGTGTGGCTAGCTGTTAAACCCCTCCGGTCATTCCACCACTGGACAGCCTCCGCTGACGACTACCAGTAAACAAGCGTTATCACGAGGTCCAGATTACCGAGCAGCGCTCAGGAATCCAGGCAAAACTCATCGACAGCAGATTTCGTAGAGCGGCAACGATCTTTCGATTCGACAGTTCAACCGTCCAGACACGATCACCCGGAAGCGTGCGACGTTCAAGACAACTGCATGTTTAATTTGAAGAATAAAACTCTCATATGAATATTAATATGTTTTAAAGCAGCATAATCTTTAAGATGACGACTTCAACAATGTTTAAAGACATTTTCAGCCTTCGAGACACTGAAACCATTGACATATACAGTATACATATACGTTTGTATATATGTCTATGTTTCTGTGGCTGAAACAGTCTGCCATTTTGGTTGCTATGGCAGCAATAAGCGTTTCAACAAGTAATGGCCCAAAAAGGAGCAACGTTTTGTGGGCTTACACCTCAAGTTATTTATTGAAGAAACTTACCTCGTTGGAAAATACATATGTAAATACAACAAAGTCGTCTGTCCTCTCTTTTAATAGTCTTTGTGAATAGTTCGCCGGGCTTTATGGATGTTCGTGGTCCAGTTACCAAATCGGTCTCATCATTCCACTCGTTAGGAGAGTCGTGTTCGCATAAATTTAATAAAATATTAATTTAGAGTGACACGTTGCACAAAATAAAACATTTCCCCTGAAATTATTTCCAATTGAGCTGAGAACTTGAACCAGATGTAAATATTTTAAGATAAATTAATTAAAAAATATTTGATAGACCATTTCAGTTTTTCATTCAGTGAGAAGATAAATTAGTGAAATTGAGATTCAAAAGTAAGTTTTATGTTTTATTATTGAAATTTTAAACAATTGAATGTATAACATGGCAAAAAACAAGAGTATCTATTTTCATTTTTAACATTATATGAAAAAAACAAAAACAAACCAAAAAACAAAACAAAGTATGGAGCTGAAATGAATTGAACCTCAAACAAAAAACTTTTTGCTGAAACTGAACGTGCAAACATGTAAATTCACATTATTGAACCATTTTATGTTACAATGTGAGTTTTTTCTGTGTCAAAGATTTCAGTTTGAATTCTCTGTCACCATTCTGATAGTTTTTAACAGCATAAAAAGGACTGTCATCTGTTTGTAAAAGGTTAAGAAAAGCAATAAAAGCTATAAAATTAAATCTCCTGTCTGGGGATGTTGTTCTCTTCTAGGACTTTAAACTTAACTCAATGCACAATTTTTCAGAATAATTGTAGTTAGAGTAGTTAATAGTAGTAGTTAATAGTTATGACATACCAGTGGCTTCATACTTCCAGGACTATGAACTCCACTTAAAGTA